CATGTTTATGAGTGTTTCTTTTGAAACGGTTTAGTTTTAGAAGCAGGTAAACTGGGAACCTGGATGTTTGAAGCATCTTGCCCCATCTACGGATTTAGAAACTTCAAATCAATTCTTACACTGTGCCACAGTGACGCTAAGGATCTAATTTGCGCGCACACGCACTAAACCTTCATCCAAATTATCTTTGTTGAAATCGTGCTGACTAGGGCCAATTGTGGTAAGGGTAAGAAATGTATACGACTTAATGGACCGTAACATGTCTCACCAATTACAAATTTTTTAATACTCGCCTTCCCCTTTTTTCATTTTCTGCTCTTTCTCTTCTGTTCCCTTCTCTCATTTTTTATTTTAGCTTCAAATCCACTGTAAATGCTTCACACCTTACCATAGAAATGCATAGCAGCGTTGGTCTCCCGTGTGTGCTACAGTTTATTTTTCCTCTCGCACTGAAGGGACAAGGCAGAAGATGAAAAGAAAAGGAAAGTAAGGGAGAGATAATTTCGAGCATTCAGCGGTTTTTTTAAAGCAACTGTTCAGTCATTTTTCTAATGGTTACACTAAAATGCGACACAACGCCTCACCGCTTCGCGAGCTTTCAGCTGCTTTACCTTCTTCAGTTCTTCATCCATTTCCAAATTATCAAGTATCACGGCAACGAAAAGGCTAAGGACAATCTGAAAATATGCGTTTAATGAAATGGTGGCATATCTAGAAGCAAATTTTTTGTTAGGGAAGGGAAAAATTATAACGATGGCGTATGATCAGGAATTTATTGCCTACGACGCAAATGAACAATAAATAATACCCCGCTAGCGACGCACCAGATCTGCTGGTGTGATCATCCGTTTTTTCGCTAAACTTGAGGCTTTCAGATCTTTAATAGTATGAACGGTTGCTGCTTTACAGTTTAACATGTGAATTCGTGCTGGTTTTATTTGGGCCGTTTCTGGCATGCTAGTAGACGAAGGCGTCTGCTGAGACGACACTATTCCATCATGGTTGCCGCGTAAACCTCCAGCGTGCCCCACTATCAGTTTTGTACGAAGAGAAATGAATAGTTTCGGCAACTGGCCGCCTACCGAATAATGCAAATTTGACAATGCACAGGATGTCTTGAAAGAGGGATGACAAAATCCGCAAAATGCACTCGCTTCTAAGGCTACGATAAAACTAAACGTTTGCTATGTCGGTAAACAAGGAATTTAGCCTCAAAACTGAATTTAGACCACACATGAATATACAGTATCCTCACAGACTTTCAGCTTCACAGCTCATCCGTGAATGAAATCGCCACTTCACTACAAATACTTTTGATGTGTTCTAAGGCCTGGCGCAAATTCAATTTGGGTAGACAGTTTCCAAAATGGACCATAAATATTCTGGCAAAATTACAACTACTGTTTCCCTATTAGTTTTCACGTTAACGCGGTGCAACTTAAGAAATTTGACGTGGTCCTGCCAATGTTACAAGTGTGTACTAGAGATGAATTTAAAATTTTTGACTCATAAATGGACAGGGATGTCTCTGCAGTTTCCCAGTTTCTTACTTTTATCGATTCTCGTCGTTTCCTTACCAAAAAATTGCGTATATCTTTAAGGAACTCATGAGATCTAGGCTTGCTTGAGCGATGAATTAAAAAAGGGAGGTTAAAACATCGGGTAGGAGTACGCTACCAAAATTTCAGTCGCCCGCCTTGTGTCCCCGTTGAGTTGAAACTGAAAGACAAGTTCACCCACTTTTCCAAATAAACTCACACAAACACACAAAAAGGTTACCAGAGTGACGAAAAGATGATAGGCCACAAAATAGATGGCTACAAATGGCACCAAATTATCGTCAATCATACGTAGCACTTCCACTACGAAATCTGTCCATCCCTCTTGCGTTATGATTTGAAACATTGCCATAAATGCCTAAATTTATACAGTGTTTCGGAAAGAAGTGTATCCAAATCAAGCACAGCTAATAGATATTTATGCTAACAAAAACGTGAAACCATCCTTTCGTAGTGGCGGAAGCTGCCTAGCTGCATCAGAACGTAACTTCGGATCAGCTTACAGCTGAAGTCTTACCTACAGCAACACCCATACATTTAGTTTCTAATATTATGTTTTTATGGGCGAGGACTATCAACGCAGAGTTCACGTATATCTTTGATGAGCCGAACTGAAGAACTGCGAGACCGGCAAGAACAAAATCGTTCACGTAGCATCCTATTCCATGTGACTGGAGAATGCGGGTGTTGCTCAAGATCACCATGAACCTGTCATCAGCCAGCGCCTCCACTGCTCTCAACCTCGCACTTTTCACCTGCCCAGGTCTTTTTCATTTTCATTGACCCTTATCCTCTTCCGAGACCACCTCGGCCCGCACTTCCTTTCTCCTCCTCCCTCCTCGCAAACATATATCTCATCCTATAGCACGTGGGTGTTAACATTAGCAGTTTTATAAGTTTACAACCTGTATTACTGGAGAACTGGCTTCTAATAAGCATATGTGTGCGTGAAACATCGAGTCCCTTTATATTTTACGGACTAGGGTGCAAAACTTGACGTTAACAATCTTATAACTCTTTGTGCAAAAACTGATACTCACACCAGCAACTCTGAGGCGCACCGTAACTTTTTATGCGTTTTTGCATATATGCAAATGCGAGAACGCATATTGCGACGATTTCGGTGTGCGTGTGTGTGCGTGTGCGTGCGTGTGTGTGTGTGTATCCGTCTGGGTTTTTCAACTCGGCACCCAAGTAAGCTCTGGCGCCAAAATTTTGCGAGGGGGTTCCCCGGTCAAGTGTCATCCCAGGACCGTGGTACCAATCCTCATGCACGTCTAGGCGGCGCGTACGAGCGCATCAAAGTTTTGGCGGGAAACTCGCTAACTTGGGAACCAGAAAAGCTAGAAGGCTGAAATTTTAGGATTGTGTTTCCCGCCCATATATAACTCAAAGATTTTAAATTCAGCCTCCAGGTATGCGTGTTTCCCACAGTGTGGCCCCGTGAGGCTTCCTGGCGCGAAAATCGCTAGCTCGGGAACCAAGAAAGCTGAAGGGCTGAAACTTTCAGCAAACACTCCCAGTTCATCTATAACTTAAATTTGTCAAATTTAGCCCCTCAATAATGCGTGGTTGCCACGTACGGCCCCTGTGAAAATTTTTGGCGGGAAAATGGCTAACTCCGGAACCAAGGAAGCTGGGAGGCTAAAACTTTCAGAAAATGTTCCCAACTCATCTACAACCTAAATTTATCAAATTCAGCTCCTCATTATGCGTGGTTGCCATGTACGGCTCCGTGAAAGTTCTTGGCGGGAAAATGGCTAACCCCGGAACCAGGGAATTTGGTGAGCTGGGATGTCAAGGGTATGTGCCCTGTCCAAGTATGGTGTGGGCAATTAACTTCCCGAAATTCGAGGATCAGTATGTCAGAGATTTCTAGCTAGCGGAATTTTTTTTTTTGAGATCTTATTACTGCACGAAACACTGCAAAAACGCATGATCGCACGGGTCCACCCAGTACGCGTCGTCAATGATTATTTTCTTTTTTTACATTCGTCGAGTGAGCAGATGAAAATTCGCATAACGAAAAACGACTGATTTCTTTCTTCAGGCACTTGGGAATTCAGCCACTGCTTGCTTTGAATGATGTATAGCAAAAATCCATGAACGAATAAATTTTTTAACGTACCACGCTATTGATTGCCAAGACAATCGGTGCGTTGGTACCACCTATTGATTTTACTGGGGTGTCAAGAGCAGCTATGCGAAGCTCTTCATCACTGTGCTGCACATTTTCAATTAGTGTTCACAGCCTGTTCAAAGCAGGAGACTTCCTCATAAAATTTCAGCCTCCTACCTTGTCTAATTCTCGACTTTATAGTGTACCAACATTTTCCTTGTTTTTATCCTCACGTGTCTACAAATGAAAAGTAAGCAGTTTTGAAAGCAGGATTATGTGTCTGCAGGTGGGCACACTGTCGGGTGGCACTCTCATTAAATTTCAGCTTCCTAGCTTCACTAATTTCGAAGTTGCTTCACGTCACAAATGCGTATGACGCCTCTAAAATTATAGCTATTCGTGCAGTCTGGTTTCTGAGCTTAGACGATAGCTGAATTTGAAGCATTTTGTTTGCACAGAAACAGCGAACATTATGTTGAAATTTCAAGTTCTAATCCCATTTGGTCCCCTAAGTCCTTTTTTTGCCGAAACTTTTTCGCACTTTTTTACCTGCGTCCCTATGTGAGAGTTGATTTCAAGTCTGCTTGGTCAAACACAGATCAGGAAATTTGAAAAAAATTTCATCTTCCTCGCCTCTCTGGTTGTTGATTTGGAAGTAGATTACAAAATCTGCACACACACACACACACACACACACACACACACGCACACAACAACCTTTCGTCAACATGTGTTTCTGTATCCACTAAAAACACAGAAACGCTTAAAAATGTACCTGTGGAAAGGTTTGAAAATAAACTAGCTTTGGCACGGAACAAAATAACTGAAGCGAAATTGCGGTGCATATAACAACAAAAGTGATAGTAAAAATTACAAGACCACCAAGTTTTTTTCCTGGACTGAATATCTGCAATTATGCGAATCAGTGACAACAGCTTCAAATTTCCCTATCTTTCAGTCACCGCACTTGCTTTTAGTACCACATTCGTCAGTAAGCATAGAAAAAATTTTTAGTGAAGCTGAATTAAAAATTAAAAAAAAAAGTTATGGCATTTTGATGCATTTTTGAACCGAGTTTGGCTTCCGTCGATGACTGTGGTTTTCGAGATCTTCCTTCAGCCCTCGTCTAATGTGCAGCAAAATTAGTAATAAGTGATTCACATAATTCTCATGTCGACCGTTTAGGCGAGTTTGTCGGCAACTAGTACAACTCGGCTCGGCTCGTGATCGTTGTTGCTTGGGAAGCCCTCTGTCATCTCTGGCAACGGTATTTCGTGGTGTCGCTCACTGGAATCGTTTGGCAGCCTGCCAGAAAAGCAGGGCAGCGTTACCCAGGCCGCAGCGGCTGTATGGCTTGGCTGGAGGGGAGGCGGGATATTAGAGGGGCAGCCATGGTTGTGGGGGTGCGTGGAGGGGTAAACAGCGGTTAGTGGATGTGCAAATGTTTTCTCCTCCCGCCTCTCTCTTCCTAATCATCAAATTTCCCCATTCCCCCTCCCCCGGTAGTGAGAACTGAGGGCAGTGGGCGAACAACTCGTCCCCGCCCTCAGTCCGAGTGGACCGGAGAGACTGAGTTTTGTGCCCAAAAACTAGGCTTATATAGAGGAAAAATGTGAGCGTAGCCAAGGTAGGAGGTGTATAGACAACCTCAAGGGGCTGTGAAAAGCGTCTATCCTGATAAGTTACACATCACATATGCGCGACCTGAAAAGCCATAAGAATCCTCCCCTTCTACTTGTTTTAACTTACACTGGCACCACATTGAAACCACCGCCATCCACAGTGGGGCAACCGTATCAGCCTTCCGGAAAAAGAATTTTTTGCAGCTCGTGTATGAGACGGGCCGAGCCGAGCCGAGCTGAGTCGAGCCGAGCCGTGTTTTACTTGATTTTAGTTTGTCAACTGGTCAATTTATTTAATTGCTTGAAAAATGAAACTTGAAATCTGAATTTCCTAAGCCACAGAAATTTCCCAAGCCTCTTTCTAGGCATCTGTAAAAATGTGAAATTATAGAATCTTTACCCTTCTTGCAGCTGCGTAATTGGATGCGTGTAGTTTCGGTTGTTTTGTATGCATTTTCTTTTAATTAGAAAAACAGATGGATGGTACTCCGTCAGACAAGTGACTTGCGTGTTATACCACTATTGCGATGGAAGGATATGTTACTTGCTTCGCTGCTAACCGGTTGGCGTCGCACGTCACTGGTTGGCACACTCAAGAGGAACAATAGTATGCGTACACAGTAGCAGGGCCAGGCAGCTCTTGACGGATAATCTAGCTAAGTTCAGCACCAGGGCATTAGAATTTCATACCGATGTTTATTAGGCCACTCAGGTGAAGAGCCAGAGCTGAGTTGTTCTAACCACATAATACCCCTTGCCACATTACCTCTTAAGCATGCCGGTAATGGCGTGGAACAGGTCGATATGTGATTAACCTCTTCGCAGCCTTTTGTGTTATTCCAAGGTGTCCGCCGTTTCAATCAACGTTTGGATACTCCGAAATGAATTTATTTTTTATGCGTTTGTGCTGTGCAGCGCTATAGCACTGCTAAAACCAGCAAAAATGCATATTGTCGAGAGGCTGTGTGTGTTCGGAAAGCGAGTGCATTCTGTCACCCAATTTCATCTCAGCAACCTGGAAAGCTGGG